GCCTGCTTCTCCCTCTCCCACTCCCCCTGCTTGTGTTCCTGCTCTCACTGTCTATCTCTGTCAAATAAATAAAATCTTTAAAAAAAAAAAAAAAAAAGACTGCCAAGACCAGAGTTGGGCAGATGCCAAGAGATAAAGGTCTATCATCCACCAGGACCCTCTAGTGGGGGAGGGAGGACCCAGGACTACTCCATTCTCTCCTCCCAGGCTCTAAAGACACTAGATGTTAGAACGTGCACAGGGCGATTCTGAGTCACACAGATTCTGCTCAGTGAACAAGCTGCTCGGCGGCCAAGCTGCTCAGCTGGGCTGCTTAACGGTTCTTGTGCCCCAGTTTCCTTGTCTGTCTGATGGGAATTCCACCATTTTACTCACAGGAGCAAGGAATATCATGAAAAAATGGATACACAGTGCTTGCTTAGCACTGTCCCTGGAAGAGAGCACACTCTCAGTAACTTGCTAATCTGAGGGGAGCTGGCTCCCAGAGAGATGGTGAGCGCTGGAAGGGAAGAGAAGGCGCCTCCCCTACCTATCCCAGTCCTGAGGCAAAGGATGAGCAGTTAGGCGCACCACGCTGGGGAAAAGGAAGCCACCCTGGGGAAAAGGAAGCCACCCTGGAGAAGGTTCCGCACCAGGTCTCCACGGACGGGGCAGGTACACTCCCACTCCTCCACCTGCAGCGCGGCGCTGAACTAGAAGAGGAAGGGTCCTTTAGCCTTCAGTAAGAGCCCACCTCAAAATGCCTTGTATTCTTGAGGCTTGGCCCAGGAGAGCCCGCCCTTAGAACTCAATCTTTTCAAGACTCCACTCCCCCAACCTTCTTTCCACGGGCCTTAACTCAGCTTTCATCACCCCAGGGCAGGGCCTGACACAGTTTCCTTAGGAGCTGACAAGCGGAAGGAGCAGCGAGCACCACCCCGAAAGCTCCAGCACAGGAGGCAAGGGGCTGCCACAGCACAAGGCCCTTCCCCACAGTCCACAGCCAGCTGTCCACCCCTGCCATTTAGTATGAGATCGGACTCTGAGAGACAGCAGCGGCTCAGCAAGTCCCTTTCCCACAAGTCCTAGAGAGGCCCCGTCTCAGGCCTGTCTACCCTGCTGGGTTCAGAACTCGGGGCAAGGGAAGTTTCAGTCCCCCCCCTCCTCCTGCTGACCACCTGCTCTGGGCCTCAAGTGTCAGAGAAGAAGCTGCCCAAGCAGTGAGCGGGCTTGGCCCTTCCTAAGGAAGGAGCTATGTAAACAGCAGGACCAGCAGCTCAGAGATGGTCTCATCTCAGCCCCTTTGCTGAGACTCTTCCAGATTAGGAAGGAAGCAGGATAAGAAGGCGGGTCCCCCTTCCCCCCAGCCCTGAGCACATGAGCAGTCAGAGCAGAGGTAATCTAATCCACAGCGGGGTACTTTTACTTGGTGAGTAACTCCCCAGGAATGGGGAGCTGGGTATATTTATCCTGATAACTGTCCTCGGAGGAAAAGCAGATCTGTGACCAGTAAGGGCCAAGCCACAATTAGGCCAGACCCGCTCTGCCCCCACTGGGCCCAGGGACCCAGGGTCTGGACACTGACTAGGAGGTCAATCTCCTGGAGGGGCCTTCCCTTCCAATTTGGGTGCTTGTCCACTGTCTCCTCTCCAAGAATTAAGTCCTGGAGAGCAAGGGCCTTGTCTATATTGCTTGATGCCTCTCCCCAGAAGCGGGAATGATGCAGGCTGTGAGGAGGAAGAGGAAGATGGGGAGAGAGCAGTGAGCAGAGAAAAGCCAGTGCAGAGTAGGAGCCAGGATGCAAGGGTTTCAGGTCCAGTGCCTGGCAGCACGTCAAACCACCCACATGGGTCATCCTCTCTTCTCTGTCTGTAAAATGGGCAGAACCCAATTCCTTGGGAGCAAGCTCTAGGGAGGAGAAAACACAATTTCAGGTAAGACTTATATAGCATCTCCGAGCTCTTTGGAGTTTGTCTAAATCCAAGGCATTGCCATTATCTGAATCCCAGACAGGAACTGCTCTCCCTAAGGGGATGGATGAGAAACAATCAATACTTAGTGTCATTTAAATATTTCATAGCCGTGCCTGGAGGTTATGAAGACTTAGCCACCATTCTCCTTCGCTGACTCATGCCTCACTCAACAGGAACTGCCATTTTACTGTCTCAGCTCTAGAGGAAGTGTGGGCTGGGGGTGACACACGGGAAACCAGGGGGACAGGCCAGAGTCTTCCAATCTGCTGCCGGGAAAGCTGGGAGGTGGCCCTTAGGGTAAGGCACTTCTACCCTGGGCTTCCCACATGCCAGAGGAGGGTGGTTTCCTGTCTGCCAAGGAGCCCTTCCTTGCGGGACTGATACAACATGAGTGTGCCGGCTAGGTCACCTTTATTGGGTGCCTGGCTTGTGCCCAAGGTCACAGAGCACAGGTAACTGGAGACTCGAGAGAATAAAGGCAGAAAGGCAATTCCAGAAGTCACCCTGAGCTCCCGGCAGAAGCCCAAGGGCACCAGGCCCCATCTGCACCAGGCACCCACACAGGGGCCCCCCCGCACTGATCAGGCCCCTGGCTGCTACTGAGCCTTCCCCAGGCAGTAGCAAATGGGAGGAGGCGCCCAGATTTACCCCGCACACCTCCCAGCAAGCCCAGCAGCAGGTACGAGCTGGCCAGACTGCAGTCTCTTTTCTGTCGTAACTCATCCCTCCGTCCGGAATCAGGAGGCCCC